TGATTTTATTTCAGCATGTGTGCCAGAACTAGTGCAGCAACTTAATAAAAAGGATGTTTTCTTTTTTTTTTTTTTTTTGGAAGTGGTACAGATTCACATTTATGAACGATTTTTTTAGAGATAGTTTTTTCTTTATTCCAAAAAAGATCCAAATCCAACAGTTTTGTCCCACTTTTTATAACTGGGCGTCTTCACTTTATCACTCTGTGGGGTCTGTTGTTTCTGTTTGCTATCTATCTTTATTTCCTTTTATGAAAGTCTCAGCTTTTGTTGAAAAAATAATAATCTGTCCTGTACACCTAATAAGATCAAATGTCTGTTGAAAGCTGATATCAATACAGTCACATTGCCCTAAGGAAATACCTTGAATGAGCTAATATACCTGTCAAAGAAATCTTTTATTTGTGTCTTCCTTGCAGTTCAAAGGTCAGCTATAGAACCCTGGGGAATGCTTTAACTGGCAATTCAGAGCTAAAGCTTATCTCAAATGCACCACTTCCACACATGCTATGAGTACCTCCATTTAGATCTAAATAAAAGAGCCATTATGAGATTAGTCTATCAGTAGATTATGAGCTATACGTGAATGCATAGTCTACTCTTTAAAACAATGATGTCAATTGAAAATGATTTTTTTTAAAAAACTTTTTGTGATGAGCCTGATGAGATGGACATCTTGATTCAAACTACAGCAGTTATGTTCCACCAGCTCCCCTGAGATAAACACCGTCTGATGCCAGCAGTGGAGATGAGAAGTGTGTTTTTGTCCAATTCCCCCCTGAGGGGAACAAGACTGATTAAGAAGGAAATATTGCCACCTAGAGGAGACATAAAATTCACATGAAACTCAAAGCTCATACCAATTCTTCCCCCTTGCAGCCATTTTGTCGGGGATCAAAACATCACTTACATGCCAACAGGCAGCCCAGATCTGCCTTTTGTGTGAGTTATTGACAGCGCTTCGGGGTGTCTGAGCATCTGCTCTTTTTTTCTCTTTTTTGCTTTGTGACACTCAGACACATGTGGAAAAGTCTCTCTGTGTTGGAGGGCTTGTTTGCCACAGCAAAAGTCATTCATTTAAAAAAAGGTATCATCTGTGCTTTGGATATGGCTTGATTGAACAATTCACTGCAAAATGTGCCCCTCTTATGTCCATCTAATTCAGTGATTGTAAGGTGTTCTTAGATGTTAAATCATAAAAATTATCCAGCAACTTTAACTTATGTACCTGACACAGCCAGAAATTAAGGTGAGTTCTAACAATCCTGATGCATAAATATACTTCTATTAACAATCTGAATGTAGAGAGAGAGTTTAATGTGTTTGTTTGTTTGTTTTTTTGGTCTGCCAGGAGCTCTAAACCAAGAGGGACTCTCTTCAAAATGCACAAAGGACAGCAAGTGCACAAACTGGTGGAGTGGGGAGTCATTTTTTTCTTGACTTGTCCTATTCACCCACATCCACTGTAAATAGTGATTGAACAATGATAAAGATCTTCTGGGAAAGATGACACAGCATACACATATGATATGACAATTAAGAGATAAATACAGATATTAAAACATATTCAGCCAATGCATTGGTTATGAGGAACATAACATGATTGAAGGATTATCTTTAACTACTAAATCAATTGCTATTTTATTAAAGATGATTTCTTCTTTTGATATTTTACATTAAGAAAAGTGCACCCGAAGTATGTCTTCAAATTAATGTATGATTAAGGGCACCAGATCTGAAAGAGGTAGGGATTAGGGAGCGGGGAGTTAATTCCCAAAGATAAAATTGAAACTGTTAAAAACCTGATTGCTTTGTCATGCCTTAGAAAATTCACATTTTAAGGGTTGCAAATGAGGTCCTTTAAAAATAGCGTTATTAGCAGTCATTGCATCGTGCCAAGCTGGAGGAGACAGACAGTGAATTGTGACCCTGGTGCTGAAATCCCAGTTGCATAGCAACACATCTCCATCTGCAGCTAAGCTTCTCTCTACCACTGAAACAACTGTTATTTCTGTTTCATGTGCACTTTTAACTTTCCCAGAAGAAAAAAAAACTGAATTCAACTAGTTTTGAGATTATTTCTTTTTAGTTTGATGACAATTTAAGACAATTCTTTACTTGAATAATCATCACTCACTATAATAAAAGCTATGGTAAACCAAAAAACCCTATGGAAAAAAAACTCAATCATTTCGCTTTTTTTCTATCAAAAGTAACTGTTATTCAGAGAAAAAAAGGCTAAAGCATCTGGTCATTGCTATACGTTTAATTTAACAGAAACTGAATTGGTTGTTTATGCTCATTTAACCAATCAACAAAATCTTATTTCACTTTAATAGCTATCTTTGTTTTCAAAGAATTAAGGCGTTCTCTTTTCACACTCAAGAAAAAAGAGGAAAAAAAAATCAAATAGGCCTTGTGTGTCCATGCAAGAGTACAGACAAGCATTCATAAAGCCAAATACAGGCACGCCAGCTGGGATTCTCATGTTATTTAACAATTAGGAGCCTCATTAGAACAATTAGAAAGAGACTATTAGCAGAATAAGAAGATTTTTTTACAAGTCTCCAGACACTTTGCCTCATCCCCAAAGACTCTTGTAGCTATCTAATTAAATTTGTGGATCTGAGATGCTGTGTAAGCATATCATCCATTCATTCATTAAGTGTCACACCTCAACAATCCACCAGAAAAAAACTGAAAGAACTGAGTAAAAGCCAAATTGTTGTCATATGACGTGATTTCTGTCCCAGAACGTACCCACCAAGTCATGAGCTAATTATCCACGACGTGAATAATGATTGTTAAATCATATAATTCAGCTTGCAACAAAGTAGTAAAATAAATAAAACAAAATAAAAAATAAATATAAATAAATAAATACATTTGTCATATTTGAATTATACTTCACTACAATTGTCATTTTAGGTCATGTTTTAAAAAGTATTAAAATGATTAATAAATCAATGTGCTGGAATAATTGAAATAAATATTGCAACAATTCAGAATGTTTTTTCTCGTATTTAATCAATTCAGAGGCCACTGTTAAAATGTAACAACAAAAACAGATTTCTTTGCAAACTAAATGGTCAACACTGGTGCAATTCAGTTGTTTTAGTCAGTGGAGCTGAATATAGCAAAGGCAGAATCATCAGTCTGTCTTTTATTTTCCCGACGGATTCATGAGAATTACCTGAATTTAAAAAACACAGGTGCATTTTAGCTTCTGAGGTAGGAAAAAGGTCCCAAAATTGCTCGATAGATTGACATTTATTCCATTTTCAAGTCCTCAGCTTACTTTTGAGTTGAAGTGCATAGCTTTAGGTTTTAATACAAACTATTGCTGAGTACAGACTTTTTTGAAGAGTTCCATTACTTAACACCAACTGGGGGTTATTCGTTTTTAACTGGACCCACAGAAAACTTTCTGGAGGGTAAAACCTCCGAGCAAACAAGTTATCACAATTATGCCCATAAGCCATGCAGAACGTTTTTTGACAGGGTTGAGAAATTTTTATTTTTCAGATTATACTGCAACCAGAAGGGAAAATGTACCTGACCAAGGTAAAGTGGAAACTTTCCCACTTCACTTTAAACTGGCAGGTAACTTCATTCTCAAACGATGACACAGAGTTGAAGGGAATAGTAAGAAGTGTTGTTCTGAAACTTCTCTCTGGAGTTTCGGACTTACTTAGTATGATGGATCAATGTACAAATCGACGTTAAATATTATTTTTCTTTAGGAATTGTTGGTGTTATACAAGTATAATAAAGTGCCTCTCACTTTATTGGTTATAGGTTCAGAATTAGTACAATAGCGCCCTCAAGTGAAATGTGAACAGAATTGCTCATGTCCCCACATTAAGCAGAAGGCGAAATACTTTAAAAAGTATCATTTGATTGGCTGATAGGATTTTAGTCTCAAGAGTTCTGAAACACTCACTCACAACAATGTTATACAAAAGCAGCAATCCATCCATCGTCTCTACCTATTTTATCTAATTCAGATCAGACATACAGAACGTGTATACAATTGACAACTGATGTAGATGAAAGTACACCACTGAAACATGATATAGATGATTAAACTGAACATTTTGTGTTTTATAATAAAAGAACCTAAAGCTCAACCAAACTATATTATATATATTATATATAATATTGTATATGTATATGTACTATATTTTTTCCAAGACATACTGTGTGTGAAGTGCTCTTGCGCTTTTCCCTGTTCTTTTTTAGAATTGTTTTTTCACTATGTTGTTTTTTTTTTAATCCTTTTACTGTTTGCGGTGGTGCAAAAATGGGCAAAGATTATTTTCAAAACAACTACTTTTTTAATGTACTATTTCATAAAATTCACAAATTGTTAAATTCTACTGAACTATATCTACAAGTGTAGATCTAGTGTAGATATAATTGTGCATTCACAATTTAAATGTGGACTTTATGAAAAAACACCTCCTTGTAGACTTACATGAAAAAAGCTTTATGTCTCTCAGAGATCTATTATTGAAAATGACAAACTTGAATATCACCTAAATGAAGAATAAAAGACGTGACTTAAAGACTGGTGGCAAATGTCTGACTCTTATGTTGATAAGATGTCCACTTTTTTTCTTAAATGATGACATGACAGTAGTCATGTCAAAAGTCTGCATGAATAATTACAATAAAAAACTAATGCATTTGAAATTTAAATGGGGACATGCACAGACAGTACTGATGTATCATTAATCAAAGGTATAGAATGGGAAAAGTCATGCAAACGTGCCCAGTTAGCAATTATTTGCCCAAACTGAACATTTAGTAAATGTGTAAATAAAGTTATACTGCACCTTTAATACGGCCTCGTTCGTTTTCCGGGTTAACACTGTACTGCGCATGCGTGTGGTTGAATCCTGTGGCGGGCATTAAAAAAGGTCAACAAATGTTGTATCGCCTGAAGTCTGATTTAGTGTATCGTTTTGCACAACGTTTGTCTTCTTCGGGAGTGGAGGATGGTTGAGGGTCCGGGCTGTACGTTGAACGGAGAGAAAATTCGCTCCAAAGTTAAAACTGGTCAAAAAGTGAAGGAGTTCAGAGGCAGTTTGACGTCTACTGTAAGTAAACGTTGTTTTGTGTTTTTATAGGTCAGAAATGAAATTACACAACGAAGAACTGAGACGTCAGTGAACTATCTGCTGGCAATACACATTGTTAGCTTTTATTTTTGCTCTTCATTGTCTCTTAATTTGTTGTCTCCTTTAGAGAAACAGCTCTGGGTCAAATGGCTTCCAAAGTTTTTACGGGTGTCAGTACACTGGTGTGGAAACCCTGGGGAAGGAGCTCTTTGTGTACTTTGGTCCAAAAGCTTTGAGGTAAGCCAAATTGTGCACATGAACTACCTCCAGTGCCTGTGTCAAAACAGAAAGGAAGACTTCAGATTGATTGGAGGATTATTTTCTGATCACAGTCAAATGCAGTCTAACTAAAAGAAAAAAAACATGCTGGGCTCACTCGGCTGTAATCTGATAAAGTCCAAAACATTTTTAGTTCGGTCATTTACTAAACCTATAGCAGTACAGATCTACATTAGCCCCCCCTTGTTGCAGATTTTCAGATGTAAAAGGGAGTTGTGTACTTCCTCCTTCAGCACAGCTTTGGTTAACCTGTGATTCTGAGCTTGTGAATTGACCTTTAGCTAGTCCTGTTTTTTATAACAGATGAATGAAGGGCAGTTCTGAAATATTAAATTAACACTTCTCTTTTCAAACCATTCAGTTTGATTTGTGTGCGTTGGATATTCGCATTATCTCATCAGTTAACCTCTTCTAAGCTGCAGGTCATGCTGACTATGGATCTCACAATTCACTTAATCGTTTCAATCGTTTGATAAAGAAATTCATTATTTCTTTCATTAAACTTAATTAATCATACATTTACAGATGACACAAATGTCAAATTAGATTTTTCCAGTCTTCATTTACAACAGATGTCTCTCTATTAGTGTGAAAGAGAAGTTTCTTTGAATTGCTTATTTCCAAGTATGACACATACAGTTCAATAGTTCAATCATTCAATAGTTCAATAACCATTTAACTTTTTATTAGAAAATAGAAATAACCTTGACATGTTGTGCAGAATGTATTGATATGGTGCTCTTACCACAAAGCTGCTACATAATGTTATGAAAAAAAAACACAATACACACACATATATATATATATATTATATTCCTGTCCTTTGTGCTGTGTTTTTTTTCTTTTCTACCTATTTTAGCTTGCTGTCTATGTGTGATTGTGGGATATGATGGGATGCAGTGGTATTATCTGTTCAGGATGCCAATTTCCAAATAGAGTTATGGCAGTAGCCTGAGGACAGATTTCCTTTCTCATGGACGGATGAACACCTGTGGAAATGCTCCTGCGACCAGTTTCCATCCTGGTGCAGCTGTATTATACTAAACGTTTGTCTGATTGCTTTACGTGAATCATGGCTCAATCCCTTTCTCGGGAAGCCATTTTTGCGCAGTTTTATTTTAAAGAGGAAAGACGCAATAACACTCTATCGTTGAATATTTTTTCCTTATTTAGAGCTTTTGACACAGTGGCACCTGGAGAATTAATGTGTGTAAAATGTTTCATACTTTTTCCTGACTACACTGTCCGTTAGTAACTCAATGCGATCAAAAGCAGTTTCTGTGTTCACCCTTCATTCACATTTGAGTCATTTATAACCTGATAACCTGCAAAACAATCCTGGCCTTTCAAAACATTTTAAAAACTTCTGAAAAGCAGATAGATTTAGAAGAATTCCAACAGCTAAAGCAAATACTTTTGAGAAGAGGTGTTTTCAGCAATAGCTTTACTTTACTAGTGTCATTCGTGTTAAAGAAAACCTGATAAAAACATGTTTGCAAGGGAAGTCTTTTCACTTGGTTTAACTGTTAAATAAACAGTTTTTTGTTCATTTGGTTTTTGTGTTGTGGCTCTATGATGGCAGATGGCTGTTGGCTCACATCTTTTTGTCACTGATGATGGTGAGAGGGTGCGAAATACTAACATGAATGATTATATTATGTTTTCATTTGCAATTCTAATCTACAGCCATTACAGTCTTTGGACATGAAGGGTGCAATTTGTTTTTTGAATAAAATACTGTACGGCTCTTGGCTAGAAACTCAAATTAGAACCTAATTAAAGTCATGCAACGTTCTTTAAAACAGTACATATATATATTACACATATTATACTAGGTCACTTCTCTATTATAGTCCTGTCAAGGCTTCAATTAACTTTGATGTGCTTTTTTTCATTTAAATGAGTTCTTTTCTGCCTTTTTCATTCACATCTTCTAGAGTCCACTTTGGTATGAATGGATCAATGCGAATAAACCCTGCTGAGAGCAGGGTTAAAACGGGCTCTGCACCAGTGCTGGAAATGCATCTCACAAACGATGTGGTGAGCTTCTTTGACAGCACAGTGGAAATAAGGTAACCAAGGCTCAGCCCAAATAGTTTGAGGAGACAGGGGTTCACTTTGGGCTATGAAGCTGATTTACAAGTGTCCTCCATTAAGCTGTGTTCAGAGACCGGGTTATATGTACAAAGAATTATGTCTTTTGTTTGTTTTGTTTGTTTTCTCGCTCGACAGTTGTCCGGGTATCGTTAAATAGCCAGAAAATGATCAGAAATGTTCAGCCGATGTTCTATTTACATCGGCTGAATGCATGTGTACGTGTGGGTTTTTGTTTGTTTGCATTTCTTTTCTTTTCTAGATGACTTGTTTCCAGTAATAAGCTCCCCATTACAGTGTTTGCTGTGCTACACCTTTCTGCTATCTAATGTTCACTGTCAATAGAGACATTTATTTCTCCTATCTGAAAATTTCACCCATGCTGTGCCACCACAAAGCTAATAAAAAAAGAGAAAACTGAAACTGAAAAGTAACTTTGCGAGAGCCCTGTTCGACCCGGTGCAAAAACTACATAGTTTTTTTTTTTTCTGAAATTCCTCCAGACCTAGAAAAACTGTGTTCTTTCAGGTGGACGGAGGACTGCGAGCAGAGGGTCAGGGCCACGGAGAGTCTGGATGTGTGTTCCTCTAAGTTCAGCTTCTCCCGCGCCGTGGATGCAGTCAAGAGCCAAAGCAGCAGGATGCTCTGTGACGTTCTCTTAGACCAAGCCGTCATGCCAGGAGTCGGCAACATCATTAAAAACGAAGCCCTGTTTGACTCGGGCCTCCACCCAGCCGTGAAGGTATGGAAAAGATGATGGATTGTGTTCAGCAGAGGAATAAAAAGGGAGAGGAGAAAAAAAAAAAAGCCTGACAACCCTCAAAGAAAAAAAAGTGTAAATTCTTGTATTACTGAGTTACGCATTGCCAAAAAGGAATGTGAGATAAGAAAAATAAAAAATATTTTTTTGCAACGCGTTAAATAGATCCAGTGACTTCAGCCCAGTAAGATATATCTCCTTCTAATATGAAAATAATCAGAATATAAAAGATTTAATGATCTACATTGCTATGAGAATATTCTGTTAATTAAACAATATAGAAAAATAATTTAAAAGTGAGATATCCATTGCAGATATGACATCAGTGTGTCATGAATCCTTCTATTAGTCAACTGTTTCCAGAGGTTTTGTTCTGTAAGTTCATTTGCCCTTTTAAAAAGTATTAGTCCACTGGATCAAAACATTCCTCCCAGAATTTTGTCCTCTAAATCTTCAAGGACCGCTGCATCTTTATGCCCCCCCCCACCCGTCTTACAGGGCCTCTAGGTGTCCTGAAAGCATAAAAAAAGACTTTATTTTCTCCACACTTTCCGCGTCACAGTCAAGTCTTTCCAGCCTTCGCTGAAATTCTCGCGAAAAATGCATTCTGAGATTTCTCTCCTCTGCATCACTTTAAATCCAGTTTCTTCATCCATGCCCTTCATTTTCCTTGTATAAATGTTTGTAGTATTGATTTTGGACATGCTTTTTTTTTTTACAAATGAGTTTTATTCACCCCTCTGAACGTGAACTGTAACGAAAGAGAAAAAAAATTCATTTAAAGGTCCGGCAGCTGACAGATGCACAGATTCACCATCTGGTGAAGATGACACGTGATTTTACTCTTCTGTTTTACAAGGTTAGTCATTATTACTCTAAATCAAATGTTATGGTTGGTGGAGTACAATTGTGCCCTTTCAATGGCTGACACTTTACAAAGAGATGCATCAAAGTGTACATTAATCAATGCACAAAACTTCAAGTTATTGTCCAAAGAATGGATCGAACAAATAGAAATTCTCACTAAGGTGTACAGTAATTGGATTTTTCTTTGGTCAGCTTTCTAGATAAACTTTTTCTCTGTGTTCTCTTTTGCCCACCTCATTTTGATTCATCTCTATCAGTGTCGAAAGTATGGCTCTGCTCTCCACAAGCATTACAAAGTCTACAAGCGTCCCCAGTGCGGCCAGTGCTCCTCTGCCATCACGGCCTGTCGTCTTGGAGACAACGGGAGGATGACATACTTCTGTGAGCGCTGTCAGAAGGAAGACCCCGGCAGAGTTGACATCAGGTAGAAGTCCTCGTTGACCATCGGCACTTTCATGAAGAAAGCAGAATTTTGCTTTCTTGGTTTTGGATATTGTTCATTAATGCGGACAACTACAACTTTTTGTTTCCTCTGTGCTGTAAATTTGTATTTTATGCCACATTTACATTTTATAGTTCAGGTATTTATCAACTATAATATAATTAATGTCATATTTTTGTTGATTTGTTATGTTGTTAGGTTAGACATTTCTTTGATACAGAGAAAAAAAGTCAAATCAGCACAGAAAATAAGCTGCAGGAACTCAGAGTCCTGGTTTTAAAGCGATTTTCGCGGAAAGTTCTCCATCGCTTTAGATGATATGTTCAGATTCATAGAGGCCATCTTTGCAGGCAGATGGGCTTGGCAGGGAGTGGGAAGTGTTATGGGGTGAGAATTAATGCGCGTAGAGGGCTGTGTTTGCCAGACAGGGCACAGGCTCAACACCCCCGAGGTTGTGTTTGAGCAAAGCTTTGCGAGGGGTTAGAGTCTAAAGCCCTTACACGCATTACACAGCTGATAAAGCAATCGGTGAGAAATTTCCTGAAAGCTGCTGCTACTTTCCTCCTTCATGACTGTTGGCATTGCTGATTTGCCTTTTTGTCAAACATACTAAAGCTTCATGCCAAAGTGCCAATGCCTGCTCTTGAAGCAAAGATATGCAGCATTTTCCAGTCTTCCAGCCAGTTTAATTATTCTTATTAGGTTTAAAAACAGTTGTTTAGATCATCAGTTCAGGCTCATTTTACTTCAGCATTTGCTGCTTTATCACACATATAACTGCTGCTTACACATCAGTTAAATTTCTATTAAAAACTGCACCCATACATGTGATTTCTGTTTAATAGAGAGCATTTGATACATTTGCTTGTCACACGAACAATCATCCCATTGAAACATACCATGGAAATCTATGCATGAATAAATCATAATCTTCATCGTTATTATCCTTCATTATGGCTGCTAAGAGCTTGTCATCATTTCTTAAAGAAGATAATGATCCCAATTCTAAATCTGAATCACTGAATTAAAGAACAAAACATCTTCCTTTATGAAAGAGGAAAAAAAGTGCTCATTTTGATTTTAATCTGTACATTTCTTTTTAAAAAAGACAAGCAAAAAGAACGTGGTGTTGAGTAAAACACACAATGAACATTTCTAAAAGTTCAAATATACTGTTATGAAATGGACCAAGACACACATTAAGACTTGACTAATACAACAAATACAAAAAACCACCAGTCCTTCAGTTTTAAAAGAAATAATTTACCGAGACTCAAAATAATGGTCATTTTTAAACAGATCAAAATATAATTTAACCATGAATTGTTTCCCTCTACACATTTTTCATTCATTATCAAACTTTTTTCAAAAATCATTTCTGACAGAAGCTTATCAGATCACTAAACTTTGCTCGGTTTCCTTCCCTTTCAGTAAGCTCCCGCACAGAAACAGTCTGATTGGCTGGGCCTGCAGTGAGAGGAGCGGCGATGGCGTGGCTAAAAAACAGGAGCAGGACTGGGCCTGTGAGCTGTGCACGCTCATCAACCGGCCGGCGGCGGCCGCCTGCGACGCATGCCTCACCCCGAGACCCCCAGGTCTGTTATCCACACCGCCTTTAACGGGTGACAGAGCAACTCTGCTAACAAGAGATGAAATCGGAGTATCAGATTTATTTTATTTTATTTTTTCTCGGTGGTACAGTCGAGTGATGGCGTGCACAATTTGACATCAGTGCTTCAGTGGTTTCGAGCTGAAACGGCAAACATCAAATGACAGCGGACTCAAGTGGGCTGGCTTCTCTTTGGTCAAGAGGGCTCGCGTGTTGCAGCCCGGATAATGACCGTTTTCTGTCAGCTGGCCATTCGTCTCTGACTGCTCTGAGACGCATTACAGCCGCTCTGATCTTTTTGTTTTTTGAAAGACACATCCTCGCGCCCCAGCCGCAGCAGCCCAACTGCAGCTGAACCGCAGCCCACTTAGTTTTTTCTATATTTTCTTTAAGATCCCTCTGCCCTATATCAAATAAAGCAAGTTTTTTAAATCATTACTTGCTGAAGAACCAAACTGCTGTAAAAAAAAAAAAAAAAAGGCACTACATAGCTTTGTCATGTTAGGCAACAGTATTCTCTTTATTTTCCTTTTTCAACTCAGACTTTGAAGGATCCTTTTTCTTTTTTTTCCTGTTCAATCAGTATCAAAAAAATCCAAAACTCCCCACTGGTCCGGTCTTATAAGACATAAAAAAAAAAACTGCTTTGTTTAGGAGTGTGTGTGTGAGAAAGTATGTGTGTGTGTGGGGGGGGGGGGGGGGGGATGTGTGAACTGCTAATCATTGTGATTTTTTTCCCAGTGTTTCTCTGAACTCAACATAAGAGAGTTATCTTATTTTTAGACTGCTTTAGAGTTGGTTTGTGTTTTAATCATACGGTTAGTCTTCATTTAACAGAGTTTTGCATCTTCAGCATAACAATCTGTCATTAAAAAACACAACTCTTTTTTTGCTAAACATCACTCCACTGCTTAGTAGTAGATTTTATGACATGTTAGCCACTTAAAAGTAGCAGGCAGTATTTTTGTGGGAGCATCAGAGTGACCTGCAGCTGCTGAGCAGAAACTGAGTTTCTCACTTTGGCTCCATCTCCACAGACCACAAAGACAACATTAGCACTGAGGCATCGCCCTTCACTGCTGATTTAATTAAATACCCCTGCACCGCCTTCAACAAACCACAAGAGGAGCTCAAAGTCAACTGGAGGTCTGCTTTCGGGACTTCCACTCTTGTTTTCTCTGACATGAGCAAGAAGCCAAAGCCTGTAAACTCGCCACTCTCCCCAGCCGGCAGTCATTTGAATTCCTTGGCGGCAGCGCGAGGTTTATATAAAAACAGCGTTTGCCAAGGGACAACAAGCCCCAATTATGCCTCTGGTGGCTGGCAGAAGCAAAGTATAGAGCTCTCCAATGGGGAATCTCTGGCCTCCTACAGTCACCCATCCAAGAAAATGAGAATTGATCACAGTCTCTTTCCCAGTAACAATGCTCAAAATGGAACCCCCAACTCAGGGTGAGTGAATCTCTTACTTGGCTATTCAAGAATAAGTTTATAATAAGAGAAGTTTTTTGCAACTTCAGGGAATGAGTCGGGGAGGGGGAAAAAAAAATAAAAGCATCTGACTGTGGAATTTTACTGCAACATTGTTAAAAAAGTTCAAACTGATAAATTGCCAAAGTAGGACAGCAGCTATATACAATTATTACAAACAAACATCAATACGCAGCTGAAAAGAGGCGGCTCGCCGCTAATAAGTGTTATTGTACAGACCTTGCTTTGTGTTTTTATTTTCAACATATTTCAAACTAATAAGATTCTTTCTTCGCCTCTGTCAGTGTGTGCAAAACGGAGGCGGCCTCCGTTTCTCCCAGTTCCAGCGCCCCTTGCTGTGCGTCCCACCGTCGCCCCGCCGTCCTCAGAGTGGTCCACAAGGATGGACAGAATAAGGGACGACACTTCTACGGGTGCTCGCTGCCCAGGGAGACCAAGTGCAACTTCTTCGAGGTGACAGGAGAAAGTGAACTTTTTTCCCAGAAGCTTTAAACTGAGTCGGGAGCTTAAAACTGCACTAATAAAGCATTTTTCATTGCAGTGGGCAGATTTGCACTTCCCCCTTTGTCACCACGGGAAACGCTGTTTAATGAGGACAGTTCTAAAGCTCGGGCCCAACAACGGTCGGAACTTCTACACCTGCAGCCTTCAAAAGGGTAAACAATGTGACTTTTTCCAGTGGGCAGAGAACGGACCGGGGGTGTCCGTCCTCCCTGGCTGCTAACGCATTGCAGACAAATATCATTACCAAACAGATCACCGAATTCTCTGAGAATGAACGAAAGCACATACATCGCCCTTATATGGCTCAAACTATGAAATGCCACTTTATGTATGAAATAAAGACTGCACTTTTCTTCTCCTGTGCCTGTCTGTAATTAAAAAAAAATGTGCCTAAAAACTTCAACTCTGATAAAGAGTTGTCATAACTTAAACCCACTCAGTCGTCTGACCATTGATGTTTTCAGATTTTGGTTTATTTGATCAACATTTTGGAATAAAAACGCGACATGGAAAATTGTTCTTTCATACGTCGGATAAAAGTGATGCTCACATTCTGCCGTTAAAAGCAGTCCACAGACTTGAGGATTGGCGTGTCTGACTGGCAGTTTGACACCATGTAGTGGAACTGTGAGAGGCCGGGGGCTTTGTTACATGCTGCTCCTGAGAGGTGAAGAAAGACAGGAAAAAAAACATGGAAATGATAAATAATCCATATACCATTTTCATAATTATGGCCACAACATAAAATGAGTTTTACCTCCATGTTTGGTAGTTGTGGTGACAATTCCCAGAACATTCTGTCATTTAATGTGTCACCAAATAGGTTTGACTGGAGTCGTACAATAAATGTGGATGAAGTGTGAAACGGATTATTTAGGAGCTCTACGCTTTCTGAAGGAGGGAAGCATGTGCTTATTTATCCGTCACAATAATTTAAAGATTTGTTACAGTTGCCATGAGAACAAACTTTGTGGGGTAGAACAGATTTGATGCTGGAGCTCTTCAGGGAGGAGTGGACTCCTTTCAAACAGCAGATGGAGACTTTATTTAGACAAGCTTTTAGTTGGAGATGGCTCTTTGTTTTGACGTTGACTGCCTATTGTGGCCATTCATTTTTTTGTTTTATTCCTCTGTCTTTTTATTGTAAAACTTTTTTGTTTCCCTTGAAAGAAGTGCTATTAAAATAAAAACATCCAATCAATATTGTTTTGTTTTTTTCCAATATCTTACAGCCGAACATTTTTATTTCACATTATCAACAAGTTTGACTTTTCTTTCTATGATTAACAGACTCATAGAAGCATAAAGTGTGAATTAATGGAAATTCAGTATGTTTTTCTACATCTCTATGGATGCGTCCATACCTTCGGAAAAGAAGGGATCAAATCTGTGTTTGTAAACCCAAACACTCACCATAATGGCCCGTTGTGTTTGCACAGATGATGGCTCCAAAGAACTCTGAGTAATGCCTCTTGATTCTGGAAATGGCCGACTTGCAGGCTGCCGAGGGATCGGCCCCGGCCCTCATCAGCTCCACAGCCAAGTAGCTGTTGGCAGGGTAACATCCAGAAGACACGAGGCAAACTAATAAGTACCGCAAAGGCCACCAACCGGGACAATCATTGTGAAAGCTTTAGAATGATGACATTTTTTACCGGGATGACAAAAACCCTGTGCAAGATGACATGAGTGCATAAGGTTGAAAAAATAAAAATCAGATGGTTGAGACAATATGTCAACGTTGTTTTTGGTGTCTGTAAACTGCATTTTAAACTGTTTTTAGACGAGCAAAAGCATGGAGGAATGGAAACAGAGTAAAGTCCAGAGTTTACAGAGCCAATATATGATGGAAGATTTATTAAGTGAGATCTCAGTGGTTTAATGGTCAATTAACTGGAAACCATTATGTTCTGCGGGGCGTACTGTAACAACTTTAGCTCTTAAACATGACTATGCCTAAATGAAAGATCGGTAGTCAGTCAGCTTTACAATTCATACGTATCTGAGAATGAAACTGGAAGTCTTTTTTTTCCTCATCGGATAGGTTTGTGGTCTGAGCTCTTAGGCAATTTACTGTAGGTGCTCTCACACCATAATAACGTGCTCCAAGGGTTATTAAGTCCTACAGATCTCAAAAGAGGAAGACCTGGAGGAAAAGAGGGGTTGAGTGGAGTCAAGAGGTTCCCACTACACCCTAAAATGAATCACTTGAACAGAGGTTTAAATTAATGGATGAAAGAAGGAGCTTCTGTCGAGCCTCTGTTGTTTGACCTAGCTATGTCACAGATATTTCATTAAGGCTTCAGCACGTGTGGAAAAAGGGAAAAACACAGGACGTCTCCTCTGAGTCTGCAGATGCCGTTGAAGATGTCTTATTGAGAGCAGAGTCGTTTTTATCGTAAAGCTTCTAAATCCCATACTTCAGAATGTACCTGCTAATAGGACAAATATGGGTGCAGACAATTTGGTGCACTAATGAGGTTCTCTTGAACAACAACCTGCTGGAGTTCCTGGAAGAGGGTTGAAGAGAGTTAGAAAACTTGAAATGAATTTTAAAAAAAAGCCCTCAGGTGTGTGTGCAATATCAAATAATGGCGTGTGTGCTCTCCAAAGTAGCCCGGATAAATAAAGCCTTCAGAAAAAAAAAAATGAAATAGTATTTTCTCATAGCCTGGAAACAGCTGCGGAAGTGAAAACCTGCCTCTTTGGAGCAATGTACAGATGACAGTTTTGGGGCAACATAGTCATCCCTTCTCTCTTTATAATACGATTTATGCACTTCCAGGCTTCAGGCTCACACTGGATGTTGGCTGTTTAAAATCCAGTCATAAATGTGGATGTCCTCTGAAGAACTTTAGGAAAAAATAAAAAATAAATGGAATCAGTCATACTATTTTTGGGCTGTGAATTTTTTTTTTTTCAGAGAACAGAGGAGTTCAGATCCAGTCAACTTGTTCGAGTGGAAAAACCTTAACGTGGCATAAACCCTGTTTGGGGGCAGCAGGGAAAATGATGAAGGGAAATTTCAGAGCTACGCCTGCTTACAGAGCCTTGACCGTCACCCGACGCTTTCTTCTGCTAGCACAGGGTAAAAACACCGAGGGGAACTTTGAAATTTCTTCTTCCAGAAATGGCTAAAGTACCTTGGCAGGAAGCGCATCATGATGTCTCCGTCGCCAGTAGCTGCAGCGCCGCCGGCTAGGCTGTCTGCGTAGGCCCCCGCTCCAACCACAGGGGAGTCTCCAACACGCCTGCGGGACGGAAAAACAAATCCTGAATACAAACACCAGCACCTAAACGTTTCACCTGAACAGCACGTCCACATTTTTTTAGCATTTCTGAGAACACAAGACTATTCTCAAGAAAGTGTCTCTAAAGGATGACCAGTGCGCAGTTCACTTAAAGTTAAAAGTGTAACTTTTAAAGTAATCTGTTGGTAGGAGTGTAGTGCAATATTTATAGCCTGCGTTTCCTTTGGTGTAGTATCGTGTGTGAATTACTTTTGACTGCATGATTTATATCAAAAGAAGCTGTGGGGCGATAGCCGAACTCCCCCCACCCTCCGCCGGCAGCGTGCTGGCCTTGCATCCTTCATAAAACATTCATAACCACGTAATCATGTCAGGCGTTTGTCTCAACTTTTACTTCAAATAGATCTGCACATATCTGCTTGGGCTCGTCCTACAACCACAAGGTCCAGTCGCTGGTTCGGCTCGGTCAATACGCTGAAATGCCCTTCAGCCAGAGGCCGGAGCCCACGTTATTCCCTAATGGGCTCCTCACTTAGAGTTTGTTTTTGGATAAAGGTAACATAAAGTAAGGTGTATTTCAGGATTCCTTAGAACCTGATACATCATGGTAACTTATTCGGTCATTTGGGAGATATATTTGGCAAATTAAACATCTAAAATATGTCTATTTTTGTCCCGCTGTCATAACTGATGACATGTTTTACGTTTTAAGTTAAAAGTTAAAAGTTTTTTTCATTCCATGTTTTAGTAACAATGAAAAAACAAAGATTCTTAATATAATATTTTTCCATGAATTATCGTACGCGGTAAAAAAAAATAAAATTAAAAAAACAAACTGTTAGCTTTGATCACACTGTCAAACTGAGCGCATCCCGCACCGACAGCCCCCGTTTGGAACCACTTTAAACACCCCAGGACTGATTTTATATTAATGTGTACATGCTACTGTGAAATCAAAGATTTTTTTTTTCTCAGATGTTTCACTCATGAATGTGAAATGTCTGTAAATAATGTAAATAATCAGCGCCATGTTTTATGGTTTGGTGTTTTTCTCCTTCATTTAAGTGAGATTTAAAGGCAGGCAAAGCTATTAGAGTAAATGACGGTATAAAAACGGCATTGTTTTCTCCACAGTTCAGAAAGCACGAGGGATTTTAAGTAGGATAATTTCTCTAAGAATTAAAGATATGCTGCAGACAGTCACACAATAGACGCGATAAATAAAGGATAAAAGTGTAATTTAACAACTGATGCACAGCAGCAGCTTCACACTATGCACAAATGATCACATTAACATATAACCGGATAAAAGACCCTTTCACCAGGTATCGTCCCTGTTGTGTCTTGTCAGTAGTTTGTGTTTTTGTGTGTGAGACGTGCATACAGAGAGAGAACAGTAGGATGGAGGCGACAACCTTTAAAACCGATCTCTTTTCAGAGTCCTCGTCCCTGAGAACTGTCAGTGTGGAATTTTACAGGCAAAGTTAAGTCAAGCTAAACTTACAGATCGATTTGCCCAGTTTTTGAAAAACGACATATCTTTGCCCAGTACACAACCACGGTGAAAAAAAGAATAGCCAGGGACAGAGTCGATTAATCGACTTAAGTCTGTGTGAAGATTATTCTTGTGTCTGGATCTTTGTGGCTTTTACATGAAATGTACACTGCCATGTATAGAATACGTGGAAGATTTTGATGTCACCTGTGAAGCACATTGTATTTCTAATAATAAAATGGCCACATGTGTGTGAGAGATTCTGTTTTTGTAAATACATAATGCAGGAAAAGAGCAGTGGAGCCTCTCGGAGCTGATTTGGGCTGATTTTTGCTGTGTGGAATCATTACTATGCTTGTGAGTTTTAAATAATGACTCGGGCCACCTGCTAACCTGTTTCATTTGTGGTGTTTTAACAACCTGGTCCAGTTCCACACCAGTCATAACAAGATGTGCCTGGAGTCACCGGCTCCAGCTGTCAGTGGTCAAATCTCAACAGCGGATGCGGAGAAGTTTGGTTTTGCTATCATTATGGTGAGAGGGAGTTTGCTCTTGGTTTCCTTTTGGTCGGTAAGGTTATTGCGTGTGATTGTGCAGGAGGCAGAGCATGGACTGGACAGGCTGTCAGTCCATCAGTGTTTAGCACAAATGCAAACCAGAGTCATTCAAAATGAGAGGAAGCTGGAGTATCCATAGAGGACCCTCAATGCAAACTCCACACAGGAAGGCCCTTTCTGATATATGAAAAGCTGCCTGCTATTGCATGTCACAGGCATTGTATTCATGTTTGTGGGGAAAATATGGCAACTTGTTGAAAAACAATATATATATATATATATATAACATATCTCATCAGTGTCTCCATACCCTGGAACCTTGTGGGTTAGTCCATTGGTTGATGTACCGGCAGCCACATGTCCATGTTGATCCAGAGCAATCATCCCTATTGCAATAACAAAATAAACAGCATTTTACCACAAAGCCTTGTAGCTTTATTCAGTCTCTTGTGTGAAAAGGTGCTGAAGTGATGCAGTTCTGTGGTGGCACAGCTTAATTTCTTTAGATGTATTACGAAGTCGAAGAGCTTTGAGGCAGGAGCGAGTGAAAACGCTATTATCATTACCGTCGCATCGCCGCGATTCGTTCTTAATGAGCACAAAGTTGTGTCCTTAAGACCGGCGTGATTACACCTACTTCAAAGTGAGAATGGGTGTCCGCGGTGGAAACGTACCGATGGTGTCGTGGGAGTGCGCATTAGCATGCCGTGGCCTCTTGCTCTGCGTTCGCAGCGCCTCGGGTCTGTAGGGTCCACATGACTTTGAAGGATCTGGACTAACATTCTGTTGACAGGAGAGCAGGGGACATTCACGTTCTGCCGCGTGCCGTTATCCTGGGACTTCATTATTTTAATAACGGAGGTAAGACACGCTGACTTGTAAGCAGTTTCTGTTTCTCGCGCTTTAATTAAATAAGACCATCAGCGCTATTATCACAGAGCGGTTTGGGACCTGGTGTGTAATGGTATGCGGTGGGATGTCTGCGCTGGCAAAGAGACACAATGCAGTGAAACACAGTCCATCTAGAGCACCTCCACTTTGATTGGAAGTCCAGGGTAGCACTTCAGACGGAGCACGCTGTGTGATTATCTGTGTGGTTTGACCTGCAGGGGAGTAGGGAAAGTTTTTTTTTTCTTCCTTCCACCCCTTTGATGTTAAATGTAAGTGAAACTCTGCTGAAATGGAGTCTCGTTTTGTGTTCAATGGAGAGCTGTATGCGATTTTCTATATTTCCTTTCATGAAAGTTAAACCTTTGCAGGGTTTTTTTTTTTTTGTTCCATGAGTGAATGCAGTTAATAATCAATCTGATCTCAGAATCAATGCATAGATTTCAGAGATGACATGTTTGCTTTGAAAAAAGGGAAAATTACTGGTAATTAGGTTTTTATCTTCAGACACTTCATTATGTGTCGAGCTATTTATGTTTAAACGGTCTTTCTTTATCATAAAAAGATAACGATTCCACATTTCATTGCAGTACAATCTAATCTCCTAAACCCTACAACCATAAGACACTGAATCAAAGTCAGACAACCATCCCCAACTATTTTAATTCCTTTTCTTTAAATTCTATGACTGTAAGTAGAATGAATATATCTGAATTTTGGGACTTCTAAGCTTTTGCACCGATTTCATGAGAAGTTGGGTTTTTCTAGGAAAATAAAATCTCTCGTTTCCATGAACAGTTTGAAACACTTCTTAGAAGGTTGTTTTGCCTCTTTTAAGAAAGTAAAAATGGATTCAATTTGATCAGTGGGACAGTAGAATCACTCAGGCTCGACAACACCACACTTATTCAGGAGATGTTGTGACATTGCCGGAGAAGGGAACGGGAAGCTTTTGAAGAATAGGAACAGCTTGTGGCTGCAGGGTATCACCTTTACCACAAAAGCTGACTTTTTATGAAGTACTTTAGTATACCTGTCAATTTTTCCCTTTTGAAATCAATCTTTTAGAAGCAGTGTGCCTGTAGCCAGAACAAGTGAGGGAAAAAATAAACACTCACGAAAGTACCTTTCGATAATTAGGTTGGCAGTTGCCCTTCAGCCACTGGGAGAAAATATTCAAAGACCTGTTGGTAGTCAGGTCTTCAGCGACGAAGCCCATGTTTTCAGCAAACACAGAAGCTATGAGGGGAGAAGCAAATACGTTCAGGTCAAGTCATTCATCCAAGACCACGCTGACCCCTGGTCAGGACAGAAAATAAAGGTCCACCGAAAGAAAGAACTGCAAGCTACCTCGTCTTATTTATGCCTGCACACTTGTCTTGAATGGTCACTATCATTTCCTGATGAATAAATGTCCTTTGGATATCTTGACATTTGAGAAAAATCATGACTTGCAAGGAATTTGTCAAATAAGAATTAAATGTGAGTTTTGGCTATGAATTTCTGATTTTTCTTTTCAATATAAAAATGACAAACTAAGTATATAATCAAATATATATCAGTTACTGTCCAGTACTGTACATACACACATATATATTTATATATGCACGCATTTATATATATTTTTTAGAAAACAGAAGCTTTGAGCACTTAATAATTCTCTTTATGCTCAGAGGATAATGCTGGAGCTCTGACCCATGCGTTGATCACTAACCATTAATGTTAGTCATTTAGGGATTAAAGCTTATTCTGTGTCTAAAAGGCTTAGGCCCTGATGTGATAAGTGCCTGACTAAGATCCTTAATGCAAATTCAAGTGTCCTTCAGACATATTTTTATCCTTCTCTTTCACACTCCTCACAAAGTGCTTAAAAGGGAAGTTGTGCTCAAACTGTAAATTGAATTTACTAACGGTGTGATCAAACAAAAAGCAGGATTACACCCTCCCACGTTTTTTTGTTTGTTTATTTGTTCTTTAGTCTTTTAGAGTTGTTACGTGCACACATACCTGACTCTCCTACTAGCAGTGTGTGGTCAGTGTGCTCCATCACAGCTCTCGCTACTCCGATGGCATTTTTGATTCTCCTCAGGTCTGCCACTGCGCCCACCTCCATTGTATTACTGCATACAGAAAAAATAAAAAATCATTCCAGCTGCAGCTAATAACCGCAACTTATATGTTGCCGTCTTAACTCGGCGTTTGGGACGAGGAAGCTCAGGCACAATTGCTTTTCTTTGAGAAAAAAGAGTCAACGGAACACAAATTTGTCGCTCAGATTTTGAGTGTTTATCATAAGAGGCCGACGCCTCGAGAGTTTGCATGGCGTTAACGCCTCCCTGAAACAATACGGAGAATGTAGCATTTTTATGGCGCGAGTATTTCTTGATGGGGTTTTTTATTGGATTACAGTTCAGGTATTTGTGTAGATTCTTGCTCTCAGCGTATGAGCAACAGCTGCCGCTGGTATCTGCTGGATTTCTTCTGCAGCTATATTGGATTGTGTGCGGGAGGCTATCGTCTCCCCTCAATGTATTCATGACTATGTAACCGGGGAAAAAAAGTCAATTTTACAGCAAATAAAAGAAGGCATATTCAATAAAGAAACAGCAAACAGCTTGCTGCTTGTCTTTTGTTGTGGGCTGACATTTATTTCCCATTATAACTTCTGAGGGTGTAAATGTTAGTATTTAAAGACCTAATAATTGGCAAGCTTTCAGACCTTAATGAGACTCTTAATTAGTGCTTCAGATAAGAAAGCCTTGAAAGAAAGGTCAGCTAGTAAAGTGTGTAAATGCTAAAGATACATGGACGGTAGCAGCGCAAATTGTTAAAAAAAAAAGAAACATACTCCAACGAGATGATGACAGCTGCAGGTGCCTAATTAGCATTTCAAGATCTGAGTCATCTTCAATCAAATGTAGGTTCTAAATTTAAAAATCTTCATAGCCTCCCCTTTACTCATCTGTAGATAGTACATGCTCACATCAAACGGCATTAAAGCGTGAGATCTGAAAAATAAAGCTGGGCTTTTGCCGCTTACAAAGCTTTGCAAATGGCAGCGAGATAGACACACTGAGGCTGTTAAATTCCAGTGACATTAAGTGTTTAAAAAAGCCCCGATGGTAATCTTCACTGCTCAATTAGGCTGAATAACAAATGTTTTTTCACTATGTAATGTTCTGTTGTGGTCTCTGTCAGACGGCACATGCGTGTCCATGACTTGGATTTACCCGTTCATGATCATGGCATCCAGCGTGGTCTCTCCGGTCTCGTCGGGGCTCCCGCCAAAGCCAACGCTGCCGTCGCACTGCTCCGCCTCGCAGCGGGCGCAGCCTTTCTCCACGGCGTCCAGCACCGAGCCCCCGGACTGCAGAGCACCCCACGCTGCACGTACAAAGTTTCATTAGGCATGGGGTCACTTTGTCCAGCAAATCTTTGACAAGAGCTGAGACAGATTAGGACCGTTGACCATCATTTTGTTACTGCACAGATGTCACCTGAGAGAAGTGACCGATCAGTGTGACATCTAAGTTGGAGAAAGTTAGTGGTTATACGTCTTTGATCTGCGGAACAACAACGTCCGAGCACATCACACGCGTCCTCGAAGGTACCGACTTTGAGAAAGAAATGAATTTATTGAATCCATTTGTCAGATTTACCAATCTGGGCTCATGAGTAAAAGTGTTATGGCTTCCTATTAAACAGGGAGCCGAAAAGCATTTGTTCACTGATCCCCCGAGTTCCCACAAGGGATCAAAATACCAACTGATGGCGCTGCCTTCAGCTTCCCTCTAAATCTCTGGCCATTCCACAGTGTTCAGTGCTATTTTCCCTTCTATTAAACTCAGCATTACATCTTTTTTTTTTCCCCCTTTTATAAAATTCAGCAGAATGGAAGCGGAGATTAGCCTGCTGTTGTCAGCTGCTTCAGTAAGCCCCCAGCGGAAAAGAGATCTGCATGGGTGGATCAATAGTTGAGGCCCACAGACTGCACCTTAAAATATCACCTCACAAAACACATAGGTGTTTTTTTTTTTCATTTTCATACCCAATTCAGGGGGAATTGGATATCTGATAAATTAAAGGGTAGCCATCTATCAAAGAGTGAGATTTTTTTGGTGAACTCTAATCACCTCGCGTCTGAGCTGTAGCTAGAGATGTTTTTTTTTTTTTTTTTTTGTGTGTGGAGCGGTGCTCCTGCTGGAAATCGACTTGACAGATAAGTCACAAGCAAAGCTGAAATATTTTCAGTTTCCATTTGAACATGTCCAATGTATCATCCTGAAGGAAATCAAATGGAGTGAGGGCAGGCCTGCAAATAGTTATGAAGCCTGGTGAGTTCAGCCCGCTCTGTGTCCCCATCTGAGGCTCTGATGGTCTTTCATACGGATAAGCTGCTGTTGATTCTCCAGTATATGTGAGAAGCAAAGCCTGAAAAAGCCAGTTATAAAGATTCCAAAGGGTATAACCTCACCACATATATGATACACACACTTGTGTATACTGCGTCATGTCCAGTCGTAGCTGGAAATTGATCATATGCACATATGTTGGTTCAAAACAAGCTTAAAGTTCAATTTTATTACAGGACTGAATCTGTTATATTTAGATGTTTTTAAAATCAGTCCATGAAAAAGGCTGGATATTCAAATAATACTGCTACCCAATACTTCAAAGGATAATTATAGTTGTTATTAGGCATATATTAAGCTAGTATGCATGAACTTCCCATAGTTTACAGGAAAAACCGGAACAACAGCAGCACATATGTGCAAGTAGGAATCCTGATCTGGACAGATGACTGAAAACAGTTCAACCATCACAATGGCTGCATTTCACCAGTTTATCAAATTAGGTTCATGCCTTGATAACACTGGTACCAGGTCAGACGCCAAAAAATAGCATTATTTTAATTTAATTAAAGAAAAACGACACATCTGAGGCCTGTTTTCCTTTCCATGGGATCACGTGATGCCTTGTCAACAGTCCTTCCTTTCAGTTTGGGGGTTCAACATGAGTGCGTGAAGAAAACCAGCTGCTTCAGTCACGTGACTAAACTCTGGCCCGAATTCAACTTTAAAAACAGTTTTCCTGCAAACGCAAACACAAGCTGTGACACCAGAAAGGCCTACCTTCAGCCGACGCGCTCTTAAACGCCCAAGTGTTGATGACAAGAGGCAAAGACGCGTGTGCGCGTGGGAATAATAAAACTGACACGAGAATGGTGACTGGCGCGAACATGTTGTGCTGCCGGTGGACGAACACTGGACCGAAACCGCTTCTCATTTCATCGCCACGGGTAAAGAAAAGCTCCACGAGTCCCAAGACAAGAGTTAACTGTCCAGGGGGAACAAAGTCAGCTTCTCCAGATTGTAGTTTATCGACATCGCGTTCAAACTTCCTTGTTGTGTCACGTGGTGGCTGATTCAAAGTTAAAGGAACAGTGCAACTATTTCACAAGACCACTGTCCTTCAATCATGTCAATCAATAAACAAACAATGTATTTATTTATTTATTTTTGTTACTTTTATTAAATAAATGTGTATTATAGACGAAGTTTTTGTCTTACTGACAATTTGTAAAAAAGAAGAAATTCATAAATCCCCAAGAAATCCGTTTGCATGAAGATAATGCAGGAGGTACCCTTAATAACAAAAAGAAGGGGGCAGCAACTGTGTCCACTAATTTATATCTTTCTAACTACAAAGAAAAACATGTAAATTTATGGCTAATGCCAAGCTTTAGGGACCCGGGCCCGCTTGTTTGTGAAACATTACTGGCCCACAAATCAGTCCGGAGACTTTAGCATCCAGGGCAATTTTTCTAACAAGCTCGCGCGCCTCCCGCCACAGCTGGTACCCTTTAAACGTTTGTTGTCAGGCTAACTCGTCTAATATCCATACGACACGCGGCGTGGCTCCGTGAGCCGTTTCAGTAGTTGCACTCATTATTTGCAGCAGGGTAGTCGGGAGTTGACCACTTAAAAGAGGGAGGCGCGGACCTGTCTGCGCGCCTCCCGGCATCCTGGGACTTGGTGACTTCTCTCGTGGGTTTAATTTACATCTTAGACGGCGGGAAAACTGAGGTAAGTATTTGCTGCTTGTGCTTTTGGAGATGCCGGACTGGTCTGTTTGTGCTCGGCAAATGTCAGCGAGCTGACTAAGCTGCCCCTTGTTTTCTGGCCGTTGCCTGGGTCATTTGTTGTTTGGTGATTGAATCTCATTCGGTTTGTTGGATGGGAAAGTGGAGTCCTCAGCTCTGCCTGTAAGTTGATGTACCTGTTGCCCCCCCCCTCCCTTCATCTGTTCTGTTTTTGCCTTGCAGGCACCTGAATGGCATCTTGCAATATAGGAGAATAGAAACTGCAGGATTTGCATTATTATTGTGTCTTTAAGTGGTATCATATAAAACATGGCTCATGTGATATGATGAGTACTCACATTTGCATTTTATCCATCATCTATGCACAGGAATATTTACTCAGACCATTATTTCCCTGTAATTATCCGATCCGTATGGAATAGAAACAGATCACGTGTGGTGTTACCTCTCATACATATATCTGTTATAGAATAGTAAGATGCCAACATTTGGAAACTCAACAAAGAGCCTAATTATTGTTAAATGTATTTCATTTCAGGATCCGCCACCCAAATTTCCCATGGACATTTCTGTGGTTTTATTGTGCTCTCATTGTAATGCTAAAAAGAAACAAATCATTTCATGAATACGTCATGATAATGATCCACTTTTGAATTTGTTCACCAAAGCAAATTGATGCACTTGGAATAATCACACAAAATGAATTAAATGAATGAAATGGCTGCAGACATTTAAAAATTAACTGTACAAACCTTGCAGGGACGAAAAGGATTTAAATATTTCGTTTCCAACATAACCAACATCATTTTTTTTATATTCTCCTAATTAAAACATAGTTGTGGATATCATGCAACAGTTTTGCCAGTATGTTTGACACTAATTACACTGAAACACTGTATAAGATGCATAATAAAGTTCACTGAGTTCACATACAGTGGATGTGAACCGAGTTCACACTGTCGTATATTCCAATTACCTCTTATTTATCTCCACTTAATTTTTGGGATAATGCCTTAGAACTACGCTCAGACCTCTTGGAGTGGAAAGACATCAGCATCTACTTCGCTCAGTAAAATGTTAATGGTTAAGTGACTACATGGAAGGTTCTCAGTTGGCATAGGATAACTTTTAGAATTCCGAGCTAGCTATAATGGGCTCTGAAAGATTCATGATCACACTCAACTTTATCAAAAGTGTCATTTGAACTGTTCAGGCATATAAACCCATCCAGAAGTTCCATCAGTCCTTCAGTCGTCTGCCTCAGATTACCTCCTGGTTGGAAGCAGATGTCTGTGACAGAGTTAAGGAAACAGGCTGAGGTGAAAAGTTTGGCACACTCCTGGAGTCATACCATATGGCACTGCCTTGACATTACATACCTCATGCTGGGTTTTTCTTTCAAGCTCCCGAAATAACATATCCTGGCAAAGGAGGCAAAGTATCTCTTAGAACAAAAACTTGATAGAAGTCGTTCCTCTTATTTTGTACCAAGCAAGAAGAAAGCATAGGCCAAGGCGGGGAAACTAACAATATATTCTAACCTTGAGATGTGGACGCCAGCAGCGCGCCCTCTTTTATATTATTCAGACGAAAAATACAATTTCCACTAATATTTTATTCATTGGTTTTCCTTTAACAACGTAAAGTCCCAGTGTGATTTGACAGGTATCTGGTGGGGGAAAAAAAAAATGGATTAGAGAAAAAGAGAGCATTATTACTTTCACCTGTGTTATTGATCCAAATTAAAGAACGGCACCTAAAAGAACCTCTTGTTAATAATAACTTCATCAATCACCAACGTCCTTTCAAGCTGTGTCTCAATATCATTCATGGCAGTCTCAGAGGGCAGAATTGCTGCTGGTGTGGGTGGCTGCCTTGGCTTCTGAAAAAAAGCATGTGGATAACCAGAGCACGACACTCTAGCATGTAATATCTCATCGACTATATTTGCAATCTGAGTGACAGATGAGGTTGCAGTATACGGTAGGTTTTCAAATGATACCCCGGGTTGTAGCAGATTTTTTAAAATATGCTAATATCAATGCATTAGTACATACGGGTAGCTTTTTTATTTATTTACCACAAATATTGTGTTTGTCGAATTGTGTAAAGTGAAAAATGAAATAAAATGATGTATTATTAGAATAATTGAGATTTCACATCTCCAGAAGACACATCTTTTGAAATGTTCCCAAGTGTTAATGGGGATGCAGAATAAATCTTTTCATTGCGCTTTTGGGGAGTGTTTTAGGCAAAGTGAGATGTAGTTGTCAGTTTCAAAACAGATCCTTTTCTCAGTTAATGATTTTCCTTGTCTTCTTTTGTGGGGGGAGGGGATGGTTACTGAAACATGGCAGCCTTATCCTTCTGAATGCTTGGTGAATGTTTGATTGGTGACGTTGGGGAAAAAACTAAAAGATTCCGTTTTGCCACTTCTTCTTTCGCATTGGCAAATGATCACTAATATTGATTCCTATTTTGAATTTTTAATGTTTATTGTCTCTAAAGCCATTTTCTACACAAAGGTGAAACGTACATGTATAAGTAAGCCAAGTCGTATTCTCTAATAGAACAAAACGAATCCTCTGACGTAGCTAACTTTTCTTCTACATCATCTCAAATGCCAACTTGGTCTGCTAGCTTGTTTTAAAATCTTCCCACATTGTTCCCAAAGCAGATGGTTCGAAGGTGTGTCCAGAGATCTGCCTTTTTGGCACAGTTGCCAACGCAGAAGTTCTGATAGTTCTGACAGGTCTGTGAAAAGACAAGTTGACTTTCAAAGGCAATTAACGGGGTAAAATGCCAGCTAGTTAAGCTGCGATACCAGCTGTCAGACCCAAGAGCGAGCAAAAATCGCATGGCTGGCAAAGGAAAAACTATGGCTCGGAACAGATCTGTCTTCAGAGAACCCACGACCGAAGTCTATCAACCAACATCAGTTGATAAATAACTCCCACCAGAAAAGTTTTTTTTTTTCTTCCCTTTCATGAAGTTTCAAGAAAATGGAAACCGATTGGTTCATTGTTTGGCTTTGAACCGTAGCCAGGAAACGTCGATTACTTTGTCTCTTGCTAATGTATTTATCCGCGCTGTTCAATTTCTCGACCAATAATAAAACTACTATTCTTGCTTAGAATAGTTATCGGGATCATTCTCACTGTTTTAAATGGATAAAACACCTGGAAATGTACAAACGGCTGACAAATAAAAGTAAAAACCCGAGGCCCTGACCCCTGACTTTGATGTCTCCGTTTAGCTTTATTAGAATTGTCCCACAAAAAGGAAGGCTGCAAATCAAAGCACGCCACCCATATGGCTGCGGTTTCCTGTAGGTTGATCATCTCAGTCCTAAAAGCTCTGGTCGAGCAAAGACAAAAGCTTTAATTTCAACTCGACACCAATAATCATGTGAAGGAGAAATTAGCGAGCAGCTCGTGGAACCAGCTATCAGCCGCAATGACAGCCGAGCCAATTATTTCTGTCTAACGTTATCAGACCTTTCAATATGTTGTGCAGAAATTTAGGCCAACTTTTCCGCACGGTGTTGCTTCATCTAATTTAATTTTCATTCATTCATTTATGCACGGCTCTCTGTACGTTCTGATTCAGTCGGGCTGATATCTGGATTTAAGGTTATGGCTTTTACCAATGGGCTCGGGATGGTTGTCAGGTTGCATGACCCAGCCTTAGTTAGCTGACAGAGAGATGGCATCACTGTCACTTTCTTTCTGTGGAGGCCTAGATACTCTGTGCTGTATTTTGTAAACCTGACCAAACATATGCGTTTTAATTAATTGAAACACATTGGTCCATATATAGTTGCTCAATGTTGAGTTTCTACTAAAATATTGTTACTTTCTTTTTAAAATGCTGCATTTATATGTTCAAACTTACCTTGAACTCTCGTCTTTTTGCATCTATTTTTAAAAACAACAAGGCATAAATGTATATCCATACCACAGAATTCCCAATATAGCTGTATCGTTCAGACTGTCTTCTGTTTCTGTCTGAGCAGTTCCTTTAAACTCTTCACAAATGTTGGCAGGAAGGGGGAGTACCCTCTTGTTTCTAGAATCTGGAGACTGGGCTGTCTTTTCCATTATTTACTAGTTGTCAGGGAGCTTCAACATAAATCACACAAACGCCTGTGCTGCATTTTTATTGGATTTCAAATCTCTCCCAT